GTTATGTCAAAGACGTATATTTAAGTAACATATAAAGGACTCAACTTCATGCTTAACATATTGTTCACGGTCACGTTTCGAACATTGAAATCTATTGTCATAATTCTCAGAAACACGCAGTTATTTCACAAAATCTTAAGTTAAGTAAACATTTTCAATAGTGTTTGTATAGCTTTTAAAAAAATAAAAATCAACTGATTTGGAATAATCGGTGAGATTTGGTTTTACTAGGAAAAACCCGACTTGCAAACTAAATATTGAACTGAGGTCAGCTATTTAACTCTAAAGCAGCCAATTATTTCATGTCATTGATGTTTTAGATGAAAAAGTCATTTTCTTATTTGGTTACTTTCAAATTAGTTAACAGATAACCCGAAAGATTTATTTTGTGATCAAATCGAGAGAGAAGACAGTGCTCTTCGTCCAATTTGCGGCAATGGAACGGCCAAGCTTAATAAGAATTTTTGAATTGCTGCTGTCTAATATATTGTTAAACCTTATCTGTATGACGTCTATATGTTAAATGTTGTTTCAACGAAGGAAGTTGTTGCAAACATGTATGTTTTTTTAGAAATCTTAAAGAAATCCAGTTCAGAGTTGGTGAAAATGAATTGCAAAAATATGTTGAAAAGTAGATTTATTAACTCATGTTATTTGTTGTATTTTGTATGTTGAGTTATTAAGCTTTAGGAACTAGTCTTCTGTAAGAAGCAATGGGTACTTCTGGGAATTATATTAGCTTTAAACGACAGTGCAGATTTGAATAATTTATGTATAAGATTATATTAACATTGAAACGTTCTCTTTAATCGTTCTATTAGAGAAGAAGGCTGCCGAAAGAGAGAATTAGCTTCAGAGGAAGGCTTAAAGAAATTGTTGAGCTGAAATATTGCTGAGTTCAACACTTTGTCCTATTAATTATTAAATAATGGCGCATAATATTAAAGAAAATGTAAATTAGGTGCGTTAGAGTTTGTTAATTGCGGCAACAAGCAACATTCAAGATGTAACAGAAACTATTATTTTCATTTCAGCAAAACTGAAAAAGTAAATTTCGCCAGAAGCAGTGGAGGCTCTTGCACGCGGGTTGCTATTAAAAGTGAGCAAAATCGGTTGAAGGAAATGTCTACAGTATTACTTAAAGAGAGGAAACCTTTGTTTTCAAAAGCAAAAACTGGGTTTTTGCTCATTACTAGTAAATTATAGCAGATAAAAGTACAAAAATTGAACGCAGCAGTAAGTGTATATTGTACCAAACTGGAGAAAACTGGCTCGTCTATCAAATATTATAGTGTATCAAAACTTAATTTTTCTAATGCCTGTATAATGCACAGAAGCAAGCTTCAAAAACCGCACAAAGTATATAAATTGTTGACCAGTCTCAAATTTGGAATGTACCTAAGCATGCCCATCTTTGGTTCATCCGGCCGTCTGCCCAACTGCGTCATCGTCCATTTTTTTAACAAATGCCTTCTCATCATTTTGCTTCTTCTCTGAAACGACTATAAAGCAATTAACTTCAACCTACTCGTGTACGGGCATATTGCCAACGGCCGATCTCAACCCAAGTCGTGTAAAGCAAAAAGCGGAAATTGATATTGGGTGGACTTAATGAGATCCACGTAGTATTTATACGCACACTGCAACTGATTGCTCTGCAAGCATGACCGAATTATTGAGAATTGTATATGCTTATTCTCGTACTTTACCAAATTTTTATATGCTTATTCTCACATTTTTCGCTTACTCTCGTACTTTACCAAATTTTTATACAAATACTTGAACAATTATTCAACATATGTAAACAAATTGGACGCTTATTCTCACATTTTTCGAATTATTGAGAATATAATACGCTTGTCATCATCCGAAAGAACTGAATTCATCTAAAGTCTAATTTCTCTTGCCCACCTAGTATATCGTTACCCATTCTTTAACAAAATTTATTCTTATTAACTTGCTTTTATGCAGCGCCTACTATGACTGCTTTGCGTGAAGGATCCTTGATCTTCTTAAACTACGTGTTAATGAAAACCAGAAAAGACTTAGCGCTATTAAGAGAAGACTCAATGTGAAAGTTAAACCTGATTTTAGCGTCGAGGACAATTCCCAAGTCGTTCATGCTCGGTGCTCGCTCCAGAATATAGCTATTATTTAAACATGAAGTAGTCAGAAAGATAACTTTCTTAAGCTCTTCTTAAGCCGTTAAACGCTGAGCAGGCAAACAAATTATTCAGGTCGCTCCGGAGGTAACGCTAGTTAGGAAGCACGTTAAAAGAATGTTTTTATTTATTTGTTTATATTTTATTTACTTACATCTGAAAATCAACTAAAATAAATGAACAATTGAATTGAATTGATTCTTAGAACTAAATCTTACACTAATTAATATTAAAAATTAGTGCAAAGTATAAAGGGAGAAGTAAAGAAAAAAAAATAATAATAATAATTGACTAATAGTTAATGAATAAATAAATAAGAAAGAAAAACAAGTAAGACTGTTAAATTCGGTCGGGACTGTATCTTTTGTACCCATCACCGGTACGCTAAAAAAGACAAAAGAAGTAAAAGAATAATATTTTCATGCTCTATGGGCGCAGCTGATTTTTTCTATTTTCGAAGTAAAGGTTTTTTTCGTGTAGCCATGTGGATGTTTTAGGTGTCTACTTTGAAAAGCTTAGGTCAATTCCAGAAATTTGTGGGCAATATCTTCATTTTCGCTAACGGGAGAATGTTTACCACAAATGCTACAAAGTTGCACAAACACACAGTTGGACATACGAACAGGCCAAGAATTTGTACACTTTATGGTGTTTTTCAAGCTTGTTTCTGCGCATTTTAAAGGTATTGAAAAACAATTAAAGTTTGATACACTATAATATTGTGGTCCATTTTCAGTGCAAACCCGCGCGCAACTTCCACTGTTTCTGCCAAATTTGCTGTCGATAGTTTCATTTTTGCGACGAGAAGAATGTTTACAATAGACATTACAGACGGACGGACAGACGGACTTGCTTAAATCGATTTAGGACTTGATGCTGATCAATATAAAATATACTTTTTGGAGTCACACCCACAAGCAGTACAGAACCAAATTGCAAGTGAACCCCTAAGCCATTAAGCCAAGCATGCAAAAGCCGATATAGTAGACAACAGAAATTAATTTTCGAATCATAATGAGATGTTAAGATTAAAAGTTAATTTAAAAACGACGCAGTCAAATCGCGCGTATTAATTAAAATTTGTTTTGATAGACTTTAGGGAATCCGATACTGAGATTAAGTGATAGACATCATTTTGGGTTTCTCTAAACAACTCTAAACGGGTTAAACAGCTCATAATTTACATTGGCTCAGCTTAATAAATATAAAGTGTCTAGAAAAGCGGTTAAGGACATTAAAGCTGTCATTAAGTAATGTGGACGAATCGATAGCATCATTAATTAACTTATTGAAGAAGGAGGCACCAAGAATAAATCTACGTTTCTCAAGTAACGGTAAGAAAGTAACCTATTTGCATGGATAGGCAAAGAGACAAGCGTGTCCCTATCCAGATTCCTAACGGCAAACAGAAAGAATTGCTATTGAATTGATTTAATTGAATCTGCACAGCAACTTTAGGAAGGAGACCACAGAACGGAGGCATATTCAAATATCGTTTAACATCGTCAGCGTACATTAAGATCGGGCTGGATTTAATCAACGACTGGAGATAATTAATGTATAAATTAAAGTGTTCCTAAGGCTGCCTTGAGGTACGCCGGACGTCACGGGGAATTCATCCGAGGTGATGAAGTTGAACAGAACCCTGAATGATCTGAAGTGAATTTGTACCTTATCTACAAATTTTAAAACTCTAAAAATCTGAATACAACTGAGAAGATTATTCACAAATAGCAAAGAATAGGACGAGGGCGTCTACCCTGAAAAACACCAGACAAAGCAGAAGAAACACGAGAAAAACAAGAATTAAAGAGCATCCACCAATAATAATAATAATATCGAATCCACGAAACCTTATTACCGGCAAAATCAAGACACTTCAACTTAAAGATGAACAAATTATAATCTACCTTGCCGAATGCCTTCGAGAAATGATTGCAAATTACGTCAGTCTGTATGTACTCGTCAAACGCTTGCAAGGCATTACCGGTGCAAATTGATAACCGTGGCGCTTCTTTTATTTTCGCTTAATGAATCTTGCTGGCTGAAAAAAATTTTTATATAATTTATTTATTTTATTATACTTTTAATCTGCGCCTGAGTGACCGAGCAGTTTAATGGTCTCGATTAACAACTTAATGGTCGTGGGTTCAAATCTTAGATGCTGTAGACTTTTCAATAAAGCCGATAGGATTAGATGGTAGTGCTTTAAGACTTTAGTATAAGAATTGTATTTCTCTGGCTAAATTAATTACAATACTAATAATCTGCGATTAAAGTTTTTAATCATTTTGTGCTTCCTATGTTATCCAATGTCATCATAGTGTCTGTGATAACGCCCTAGGAACTTGTGAGGAAAATCGAGTTTCTACGCCATTTAAAATTTGGGGCCTAGTAAACCGTTTTTAAATATATAAGGAATCATTTGGATTACTAAAACAACACACGTGGTGTAATTACCCCTTAGAGGAAACGCGTGGAAGGCGCCTCAGGAATAATCGAATTATTATTTTTCGTAGCTAAACCTCGCTCTGTAATTTTTGACAAATATATATCACAGACGATAGCTACTTAAGTTCAATACCACTATTCCAGAGAGTCTACCGTCATCCTCTAAATTTAAAAATAAATAAAAACAATTTTCATTTAATTTACTTAATGAGCTTTTTAGCCTAGTTTAAAATTAATTCTAGCCATGTTTGATATTTTTCTTTGGTCGCAATCAATATTTCTAAGTTCTTATTTAACTATTAAGTAATCTTGTCTTCTTTTTTGATAAGAGTCTCTACCTGGTCCCCTGCCTGTTCCATTATTTTACTTTCAACATAATTCGCTCACCTTAAGGCACGATTTTTTGGTACGTTTTAACAAATGCGACATAGCGTCAACGAAAAAGTTGTACAATTAGTAGATATTACATATGCGTCGTCGTCACTGTTTTAGTTATGCCAATGTTTATAATTAGGCAGTAAAAAATATATATTTAATATTTTATTATAAATTTTCGTCAATTCTTAGGTTTTTCACTTATTTGTAAAATATGAACCGTAAACATATGCATGTGTTAAGATTTTTGCACAAGTTTGTATGCGTTGGGCTTTAATAGCTTTATGCACATTAACCGATAGTGTCCTGTCTACTGCTGCTAAGTGGTTCTACGTTGAAAATGTAGCTGAACACACTCTAGTATGTTGTAAAACAAACGCAAACGCGGGCAATTTGAAATGTATGTATACTTGCGTAGACCTTTAGAAGCTTCAAGGACAATTGTTATTTGTTTTGGTCACTTTTGTTGGTGTGTGTTTTGAGATTTTATTCTGTTCATATTAAGAGGGCAAATTATATATGCATTCATAATAAAGTGCCCTCTTGTGTTATTGCGGCTTTTTTTGGAACACACACATATGAGTAGTTTTTAGGTATCTTCATTTACAACTAAATATATAAACGCGGTTCTTGTATGTGTGACAAAGCTACAAACTACGCAAGCGCAGTACCACTTCCTGTTGCTTGACATCATCATTATCGGCGTTAGCAAAATCTTTCATTTCATTTTCATTTCGGTTTTCGCTACAAATATTTTTATTTGCGTCCATGCGTCTAAACAACTCAATTTACATCGACGTGCACGAAGCATTAAAACTTAAGCTAAATGTCTTTCTATAGACCAGGCAAAAATAGTATTTGACTTAGTAAGTTGTTATTGTTCAGAGTGCCCACAATGGACATCATTATACATATGTGTAAAACATACTAACGCTATCGATTTTTTTAAAGAAGCGTTTTTTAATGTGATTTAATAAGTAAAACGTTAAAGCCTTCGGGAAGGGTCGGCCTTAATAATTACACTTTGTTTTCTGTTCAAATTACAGATTCCAATTTTTGAGACATTTGGAGGTTTATGTGCTACGCTTAAAAACAAACGATATTGAAAATGAATTGAATTGGAGCAATTTTGTGCCCACTCTGCACGTTTCCAGTATAAGCGCGCGCCTTTTCGCAGTTACAAACGTTACCTATTATCGTCACTAAAGTCGACCGTGAGCCCCGCATAGATTTAACTGCCATGTCTCTTAATTAAGGAAATAATTTCCAAGCTAAAAGTGTTTGGCAGAGCTAATAAAGGTAACCTATAAACTCCCCACCTAAAAGGAAATATGGTAGTATTATGACATTTTGTCTAGTTCTAACAAATGTGAATGAACGTTTTGGCAAGTGTGGCTTGTTAAATTTGGTTAATATCAAACGTTTGTGAATGGTTTCATGACGAGTTAAAAAAATTGTCCTCAAATCAAACGAACATAATAGCACGGTAATTTTAATTTAAAGTCATTATCCATAGCTCATAGCATCACGACTGCGTAGTTAAATAGTTATTGATTCCTGATAGAAAACATCTGTGAAGTACTTCCCATCGTTTTTAAATATTTTTAAAGTGAAAAAACGTGTCAAATCTGCTTTGTTAACTTTGGTGAACGACCCAAAGGAACAAAACAAAGACTGCTAATTACAATTGAAATAATATTGAGTAGAAAGGTCATTTTATAACACATATTAATATGTTTGGCCTGAATGGTCGACATAGCAGTCAAGCAATTATTTACAGAAGAAGTTGAACGTGTGGCTTAAAGGTATAAGTTGATGTCAAAAATTATTATTTACAATGCACAATATTTGCGATTGTAAATTATTTTAATATGCAATGTACTTGAGAGTAAAACTTTTATAATAAAATGTTAATTTTTACATTCTACACTAAAGTGATGGAGTTTCATTTGACATTCTTCAATACGCACGTTAAGTAGGTGCGTGATTGTGATATCTAAGAGCAACCCCTGAATTATCGTACATTGCATAGAAATAATTGCCAAATAATTATTTTTAAAGAACAAGGGCTGTTAGAATGTTTCATGTTCTTAGATGACTCTTCACAGTCAATGAGGCGTGTGACAACTATCTATTGTTCTCTCTGCACCTGAATGCCAGACGTTCAAGATACATAAGCTGTAATATCAATGATATTGCATTTCAAACAAATACACAAAGAAAAATTCTTTCATGTTAATACTAATCAATCACCTAGTTAATAGTTAAAAAGGAACTGATCAATAACATTGCTTTACTAATAGAAAGTTTGACCAAAATTGCAGATACAGGAAGACTTTATACTCCGGTTAATAAACGTTTATTTTATCACACAACATTTCATCAATAATCAACTGTCATAAACACAATTGAATGATCACTCGACACTTATTATATTGATGCGCTGCATGCACAGTCTGATGACATGGAAAAATTTTCAAATTGTCGTTCAAACGTGAGACAAAAATAAATCAAACTTGAATTACAAATAAAAAAATATCTAGAAAATAAAATTTCATTCAATTTTCCCCCTTTTACCTCAACTTGGCCACAAATGTAAGGTTTACACGGCTTTTTAAGGGTTTTTTAGATTCTCACTTTTAAACATGTTGAAAACTTCACCGTTGAATGATGTGACCAATTTGACATAACTGTATTGTATATTGTTTTGTAGACAGTAATTGTGTAAAAAATTAAAATTTTCTACATGAATAAAAAAAAGAGGAAGAATTGCTTGCAATTTAATTCGGTATAACAATTAAAAGTGTGTAAATGTAAAATAAATTATTTCGTTCATTAAAGTTTTCTTAATACGTTGCTCACTTCCCATAGGATGACTGCATCGAAAGAAAATTTAATTTTATTCCTAAGAAAACCGGTTTTTAATCCGCGTAATATATTGACAGAGGGGCAACTGTTATTGCACGCATCCAAATATAGTAGCCGCGCAAACTTTATGTCGGTTTTCCTGCAAAGGTTTTATTCTTTGCTCTTCAGAGTTCTTGTGTAGAATACTGTGCGCAAAGGTTTTTCAAGAGCTGTAGCTTTTTCCGTTTTTTAAATTTTTCTTGTTTAATTACTTTCGGTAACGTGCAAGGAGCACTTTCGGCTAGAAGTTGCTTTCAGAGTTAGACATACGCGCCGTAGTTTTTAGCATTTATTCATGTTTACACATCATATGTAAATGAAATGAGTGGATATAGTTTACGAAATTTGAATGGTTTCGCAGCCTCTAGCCATTGCAAATGCATATTTGCCGACAAAATCGCTTTCTCGTGTTGGAAAATCTCTTAACTTAGGACTAATTGTTTGTCATCCCCAGAAGATTTAAAGTATTATTGGGTATTATAGCCTTAATATCTGTTGCAAGCATAACGATTTGAGCCTTCCTTAATAGAATCAATAGATTTAACCTTTTTTGCAATGCCGGAATGTTCGCTGTTCTCTTTATTTCTTTTTACGCTGCTTAAAAACAATCTATTCGTTTCGGAACTGCTTTAATTCCTCGAAGAAAACTCATCTTCTAAACCTTGATGGCTAATCCTATCTTTACCCTACAATCTGGCTATGCATTGTTCACATTAAGTATTTATCAATTGTTCTCATAACTTAATTTTGTGGATACCGATATCGAATTATTAAACATAATGTCAGGTTTTATTGTTTGTATTTTCAATTTATTTTTCAAATCAGTTTCAGGGGTGTTGATTAATGACTTTTGGAGCAGTAGCTTTGAAATTACCTAAAAGGCTTAACTTAGTAGAGGCCGAATCGCGCGTCGAATTCCGTCCTTATTAGATTCTAATTGGGCAATGTAATTCTGGATTGCAACTGCTACTAGTGAAATGAAGCGCGCATGCACGTATGTTTCTTCGATACCGTCATTTTCCCTTCCGCTTAACAATTTTGATTTTTTCTTTTGAAAATTTTGCCCGCCACTGACGTATTCGACCTGTGTTACATGGCATGACGAAATATGTGCACATATGTTTAACACGCAGAAGGTCTTAAGATGGGCGCAGTGCTGAGTATATCAGAATCGTTTTCTAAATCAATTTAAGTTTGCAACTGTCCATGTATTTCCTTATTCAACCTAAGGACCACGGTGTTTTGGGGAAATTTAGTACACTGGCGTCTTTTCATTCAAGGACGAAACCTATTGAAAATGGATTAGGGATAACTTTTGTGATAAATCCTCGTATAACGCGCTATTTTAAAAAAGAGTCGCTACGCATAAAATAAATTCGACATTTTCAAATTTCTCAACAAAATCGATGAATGGTAATATTACGGCATACTATACTGATGTGGAAAATTTTTATCGGACGGTTCTATTTTTTGACTTCCCATTTAAATAAGAATAAGTAAGCCCTGACTAATTGTAGAAAATTTGGACAAAGTAAATATAAATTTCTCATATAAGCACTTCCGTGAAATATATGCTATTTCAATAATATTGCGCACAAATTAATTTGTATGCATTTCAAGAAAACAAGCGCTAGCAATGAACACCATCGGCTCGACCAAAATAACGTATATGCGTTTTGTATATATATATATATATATATACAAGTATTAAAAGAGCCGATAGCCTGTGTTGCTAGTGCTCAATGTCTTTTTTTTAGTCTAAGAATTCAATTCATTAGTCTAAAATTAAAATAATAATAATAATAATAAAAGAGCTATAATTCCAATTGTGCAGCTTAATTTATATTCATATTCTATTATATGATGTGGTTATCTTTAATCCGGTATTTGCTGATTAGTGTATCACATTTAGACTGCGGCAGCCGACGTTTATGTTCTTTTATAAAGATGAATCTTGTAGTGCCTTTGTTCCGTTGGGATTTATTGTTTATTCAGGTAGCAAATTGATCTTTATATTGTCATATCTTTATCTAATTTTTTGATTTTGATGCTGTTGATATTATTTTATGATTTTGTGTAATGCCAACAATATCCGTGGGAATCTTTATGCTTTATAATTAATATCTACTGCCGATTGCGATTAATATTTATTTTCATAATCATTTATATTATATTACTAGGATTCTCAAAGCTTATGTTAACTCTTCCTCCATTAATGGTCCTTACTGTTAATGTGGAAATAACAAGTAGATATTTCTATGCTTCCTTGTCGGTGACGCTTCCATTTTTTCCAGTTGTTGATCTGGGGTTTCATTTACACTCTTTTTTCCTTTTTTACATTCAACGTTTCGGAATTTCCAAATGACGATTCCAGCTGCAAGTGCTTCAAATATTCGTTTTCTCCTTTTTAAAATGTTCACTTTTTTATGCACTTAGTATTGGGTTTTTGAAGATGTTTTAGGGGCAGAACATCTTTATTGGTCTCTCCACTGTCTTTTGGCTGTAGGAATGCTGCTAGGGGATTGTTATCACTTGTTTTGGAAGATAAGAATTTTTAACCATTAAGATTTATTGTTCCGTTGTTGTATTTTATTAGAATGTCTTTTTCTTCGTTTACTTCAAAGTACCCGCTGTGGCACGTCCAATTTCTTCCACTGGCGCCATGCAATCCTCAACTGAGTTACTTACGCACTAGTTATCATTTAATGTTATTATCTGTTATCATTTAATTTTATTATCTGCACTTTTTCCCAATCTATTAGGTCATGCAGACTATTAGAACTAACGCTGCAATCCAACAAATTTGTGAATTCTATTTTGTCACCAATATTGCGAGACCTGATTGCTTTGGCTGAGTTTGGATTAGTTACAGGTACACTGAAAATCTTGTAAGGAAGCGTTTTGCTTCCTTACTGATAATAAATTCGTCCGCCGATTCTAGAAGCATTCAATATGTTTTGTTTTTCCTCATTAAACATTTAAATACCTCTCGTTGAACCAATTTCTGAACGTACGGTAAAATACTTTCTCAGTAAGAGTCATTTGCCTCTACACTATCGTGATATGTATAAAGGAGAAAATAGAAAGAAGAAATATATAGAAAAAAAGGGAAACTCATTGTATTAGGACTATATAACATACTTTGCCTACATTTTTCGCATATTCTTTTCTACGTCTCGAAAACCCATGTATATAACAATCCATTTACGTTTACATAAATATGCCTAGCAACGATATATAAGTAATATAGATATAAGTAAATGTTACATATACATATATATAAATGTTACATATACATATGTATATTTATTTATTTATTTATTTATTTATTCCACTTATACAAGAAACTCAACTAAAACAAAATGGCAGTCGAGTTCAATTGACTCTTAAGT